AAAGGATGGTCATCTACTATTAACTGAGGATTAACTGTAACTTTGTAGTCACCACAAATTCGAACTCTTCCGTTTTTCTTTAAAATAGGAAATATTGGGGTAGCCCATTTTGATGAAATTACTTTTTCGATAATCCCGGCTTTCTCCAACAAATCTAACTCTCGTTCTACTAGTTGTACTAATTTGAACGGAACCGGGCGTGCTCGAACGAATTAATACTGGAGTGGCATTAGGTTTTAACGTCAACTTTGCTTGTACGCCTTTTATGGCTGACTATTCCGAATTATCACGTGCGTTTTTGTAATTTTTGAGTATTGCATGTAGTTTATTTGTAGCTAGTACTGTCATTTCATTTACTGACTCACTAGGAACAAGGAAATCATTTTCATTACATAATTGACGTATCCATTCCTTACCCAATAAAGGTTTTCTATTACCAACTACTATATACATGTTAAGTCGCTTCGCAATATCCTTATATTTAACGTTAACTGTAATAAATCCTTTACTACCCCACACAGCACATGATATCATACGTATCATCCCATTGTTATACTCAATGTACTGTGATCATCCGTAAAATACTGAGATCAACGCTATAATATCTTTTACAGTATCATTCGGTTTTCTTTCGCGCGCGTATGATCTCAGGTTTGACTGAAGGTACGGAAACGATACGTACGCCTTTCTACCGCGCGCGTAAAATCTCAGGTTTTACTCAAAGTACTGAGATGGTATCGTACTCGTGTCTTGCGCGTGCGTATAATCTTCAATTATACTCAAGATATGAAAACGGTACGTATATCAGCGCCATCTGCATCCGTCATTTCTGTTCCGATCTTTTTCCGGTAGCAGTACGTGGAGTGACATGGCGACGTGCAATCCAGGAAGAAAACAGTGTGATTGATATCAAAGGTAATCCTTTTCTTCCCTAAACTTACATCTCATAAAATATTTAATAAAGTTAGCAAAACAATTTTAGTATATAAATTACGTAATATTTTGAAATATTTTGTACAACTCGTAACTATTTGATCTGATGCAAAGTTTAAGGTTATCTGTTGGCGTTCTCGGATAATAACCGAAGTGGAGATTCAACCGGACATTCAGGAGATAGAGGCGATCCCGGTGGAGATACCGTGCGAGACCGTGGAGACGATCGAGGGCGAGGACGAGCAGCCGATGATAGCGCTGCAGCCGCTGCCGGCCGGCTTGGTTGCAAAGTAAAAAGGTATTGTCAGTGCCAATTTAATAATTGAAACTGGCGAAACTGCACATCAAATACATTTAATAAAGCATTAAATGTATTTGATGTGCAGTTTCCGCAACGTAGGGTTAGGATGTGGGCACACAAGCGGTTTGGACCGCACGGTTCCGCCGCGTGGTAGACCGTCCACATACGAGCGGTTTGTCCCGCGTGCAAGAGCCGCGCGAAAGATCCGTGCACACGAGCCCGCCGCGACGGATCGTGCAGTCGTACACATGAGCGGTTTGTCTCGCGCGAAAGATCCGTGCACACGAGCCCGCCGCGACGGATCGTGCAGTCGTGCACACGAGCGGTTTGTGCCGCGGGCGGAACCGCGCGTTCCAAACCGCTTGTGTGCACGGTCTGTCGCGGCGGAACCGCGCGGTCCACACCGCTTGTGTGCACGGATCTTTCGGGCGGCTCTTCCGCGCGGGACAAGCCGCTTGTGTGTGCACCGTCTACCGCGCGCTCCAAACCGCTCCTGACGTGTCCGCGCCCTTAACCTCTAAATCGTCAGCGGAATAGTTTCACGAGCTGTAATTTAATACAATTCTTTTTCTATTTGTCGTTGCCTGCACTTTGCAATAAATACAAATTTAATTATATTTTTTAAACATATATAAATTAAATATTTATTCTTGTAATTGTACAATAATTCATATCTGCATTACTTTTTAATATAAATTAATTGAATAAAAGAATCATCTGTCTGAAAACATTATCTGTAATGATATGTGTATTAATAATTATAACATTAACAATGATACATAAACTGCTTTCAGCATATGCAAGTACCAAGTCCCTGAGGTGCATTTCGACGTTTTGTTAACGTTTTGTTGACGTTTGGTATTATTTTGATCAACTGCTGGCTGGGTTTCCTACCTACTGCTGTTCAATAGTCTACGCTGGACAAACTATACGTGACAGGTATGTTTTATTCAACACACAAATAATGAATTAATATAAAAATTTGTTGTTTTTGCAGGTGTGATAA